ATTAGATATCATAACTTTTTGTAGATGGATTTGTGTGCACTGTTTGGATTCAAGCAACAAGAAAAAATCAGAGTGGGCAAAAAATATATTTCTTTTGTTTGGAAAATAATGTATAGCGTTTATGTATTCTTGTACAAGTTAATTTTGTGTACAAGTGAATCATTGTACGTGTGGATGTATTTTGATAAAACGTATGAAGATTGTTCACTTTATTCGTGTACACGAATAAAAGTACATACACAATTTATGTGTACACATCCACATCATCTGAATTATGTACACGTCACACTCAATGTACTCGTATACACTAACTTTATGTACACAGACACGTCATCAGTTAGTGGCAATTTTGTAATAATTTCATCTTCTTTATATTAGGGGTTTCTGCGTTTTTTGTCAAGCCACCATTGATTTTTATCATCCAATCTTCATTATTTTTGTGTTTTTACCTTAGAAGCTTACAAATTATATGCAGATTAACGTATTAGAACTGAAGACCCAAAAAAGAGTTTTAATTTTCAAGTTTCGAGAAATTAGTTATTTGGTTCCGGCTACGTTACTGTTTCCGGCGAGCAGCAAGCTTCGTCGCCTGGACATCGTTCGAACTCGATTAATCTTCTTCTGCCTTCGAAATCCCCTTTGTCACTATCCTAGACACATGATTAAACCCTAGAAATCGCCTACTTTTTTCAAGTTCTATCTGGGGAAAATGAAAGGTTTCACGGTTGGAAAAGGAGAGAGAAGAGAAGAACAAGAAACAAAAAAAAAATATATATACAAAACACTAACTAAATCAAATACCAAGCAATTATCCTTGGTTACACCTTTTTAAGGGTAACTTAGGTCTTTTCACAGCAACAACTGCTCCAAGAGCAGAAACTGTCTTTTGTTGAAATAAAAAACACGAATCTGCCTTACAATGAAAATTACTCTTATTATGCTCATTTTTTTCTTTGGCGGTGATACATTTAATATTGTATTTCCCAATCCGAAAATAATACAAACTCCAAAAAAACATTATTTTATTCCTATTTTCGGTAACAGTGAACCGTCTCCCAGTCTCGTACTTCCAAGGGAAAAAAGAAAGAAAGTAAAAAAAAAAAACGATTATAAAAAAAAAGAATCTTCGAAACATATTCCGGCGAATCATCACGGCAAACCGCAACCGCGACGAGAAAAACCCAGCCGCGACCTATCCCTATCGAACTCGAACAAGAACCCTTGCTGCATCAAATTCCCGATCACCGAGAATCCAACCTTAGGGTTCACCGCCTGAATCGCCAGACACTGAACATTCTCCTCCGTCTCGATAAAGTAATTCCTCGGCGGCGGAACGAACACCGCCCCGCCGGCGAACTCCAATTTCAACCTCGGCACGAACTTCTCCGGTTTCGCAACGCCGGAGACGTTAACGCACAGATCGAACCCCGGAGTCGGCGCCGCCGCGATCGGCAGCCGGATCCGCCGTCTGAAATTCGCCACCACGAGGCGATACGCCGGATCGGCTAAAAACGCGAGGGTTGTGCCGGAGTCCACGACGGTTCCGCCGTTACCTGAACCGTCGATCTCCCAAACGGAAGGGTGGATTTGTAACTTCACGCCGTTAACGGAGATTGATTTCAATCTGACGTAGTAAAACGTAGGAGAGAACGGATTCGTTAGTAACGGAGTGAATAACAGCTTGGATCTAACGCCGTTACCGTTTCCTATTATGAGGTAACTCGTAGGGGGTGGGGAGAGAGTGTAATCCATTAAACAATAAGAAAACTTGTTACCGAAACGACGGCCCAACTGAGAAGCGAAAGAAATAGGCCCACGGCCCAAGCCCATTACTCCATGGGCTCCGTTAAAACTCGCACCCGAGACGCTTTGACCCGCGATCCGAAACCCGCATCCGAAAGCGACGCTTTTCAGATACGCGTCTCTACCGGAGCTCGTCTTCAACGTCGTCGTTTCGGTAGCGAATAAACCTGAAGTTAATGAACCGTCCGCGTAAGCGTACTCGTAGTGACACGTGGAGTGGATCCGTGTGTGGTTACATTTCGGAGCACGGACGGGTCCGGGTACGAGTCGACAAAGCGGGTCGTAGCAGTGAGTGGGAGAGAATGTGGAGGAGTGGCGAGGGAAGAAGACGGTGGCCGGAGAATGGTGAGAGCAGTTCCGGCAGGCGGAGCATTTCACCCAAACGAGATCGCTTCCTGTATCGGCGATTAGGAGGAGGGACTGAGGCGGTTGCCCGATTCGGAGATCCACGAAGTATTGACCCGACCCGGAAGAAGCTCCGGAGGTTACCGGGGATTTGACGAATGGGATGGGTTTACGGCGGAGAGAGAGGAAATGGAGACGGCGAGTGTCTAAAGCGAGAGCTTGTGTCGGAGAAGGTAACGGTGATTTACGTAGTAAGGGAAGCTTCAGGTACTCGTCATCACTCACGGCGGCGAGGGTTGCCGGCGGGAGGAGGAATAGTGAGAGTAAAGAACAGAGGAGAATGAGATGGAACATTGAGAGAGACTGAGAGGAAGAAAGAGTTTTCGTTGTGTCTGTGTTTTGTAAGAGATGAAGGAGAAGACCGTATAATATACGGTTTGGATACGTGTGTAGTATACGATCTTGTCAGTTTGTGGTCGAAATTTTTATTACGTTGTAACGTGAAGACAGAAAGATTTATGTTATGGGGGCAACCAAAAGAAAGCTTTGGCTTTTGCAATGAACTCTTAGCTGTCTAAATGTGTTTTTTGCAAATGCTTTTGTTTCTTTGTTCCTTTATTTTACTTTACTATTTTAATACTTAAGGAGTGTGATGATTCTAAACATTGATTTTTTTAGCAATAAAAGGTTACATCTAATCCAGTACTAGTTGTTTTCTATGATTGTAAATTGTAATCTTTTGTCTTTAGATCCGTGAAGTTATTTCATTTATTATATAGAAGGTCGGATGATATAAATGATTTATTATGACAATAATTAATAATTATACAATACAATAATAATAAATGTAGATCTTGTTTGGACGTGAAAAGTACTATACACAAGAAATGGACCCTGTTTATTAGGTGGTGGCAGAACTCAGAGTTACTTAATTTCCAAAAATAAAAACTTGATTATATTTTTTATATATGATTACATAATAACAAAAAATGTTACTATTACTTGTTGTTACATGCTATAAAAATCTAGTGAATCAATTTTTGATTTTTGTACATTATTAGACTTGGAAACAAGCTTTAGCCAATAATATATTGTGATACATATATAAATAAATAATGAAATACATTAAAGATTGAAGAAGATTCGGGCGACACTTTGCATGGCTGCACATGATATGAATCATGTGACTTTAAAGACAAACCACAATTATTTTATCTTTTTCAGTAGTTTGGGAGATTACAGATTTATTGCAAATTATTATCTAAAATATTGTAAATAGATTAAAAAAAATACTTGCAATTTTCATAAATATTTTTTTTACAATAATCTATAAATTTCACTTTAGTCACTTTCTGTGTGACAAGTTTGTGATACAATGCTACATAGAGACGGAAGAAAATGTAAAAATAATAAACTCAGTTTACAGATTCTTCATTTTTATTACTATTATATCCTTCTATTTCAGTCTTGGCTCTACTTTTAAGCTCTACAGATGCTTTGATGCTTTCTGCATATACATACATCATAGAACAAACATTATCATAATATATTCGTAAGACTCTTTAGTTCTCTTGTCTGAATAGAGTTGTTGTCTTACCTGATGTACTCCAAAAGCGTAACGAACACCTTGGAGAAGCAACAACTCTCTTTTAGTATCTTTATCAGATCCACTCGCTGAATCAAGCTAATGCGCTACACGGTTCATGGCTGGGGTGAGGAGTGTGGAGTGCGACTTATTGAACACAGTTTCTGCACAATTACAATTACAGGATAGCACAACACTCAGAGTTACAACTTGTCTGAAAAATTATAAAATATTACACACGCCAAATAAAAACAAAAACTCTGTCCTTACGTGCTATATGCATAAGTAGAAGTCAAGCCCATGGTATCATTTTTCCACAGATTGGGCGTTATTTATAAGTAGGCCCAATAAGCCAATCATTTTTACGGTTTTTGACTGAAGAACAAAATTCAAGAATCCCTTATATATTAATCCTGAAGCATTCATAAATGCACAACCTTGAAAAGCATGCTTACGTGTCAAGCTCACAGAGCTTCTCAGCCTTAATTTTTTAATGGACCAACTTTGCTAGGAATGAAATAATGTAACGTTTAATTTCTTGCATTTAGGACTATAATATATAGACATTTTTTAAGGGACCAACTCTACTAGGTATAAAACAATATATTTTCTTTCCTTAAATAAAAGCTACGGAATTACCTAATATGATTAACATATATAAGTAATTAATGATTATGAATAATACATATGTTTGTGTTCTCTCTCTTTTTTGTTTAATTTTAAATTATTAAAATAAATTAAACAATCACATTAAATATATAATAAAAATTAATTTTTTTCTTATAGGTTATATTTTTAATTTCTTAAAAGGACCATAAATAACTAAAAATAGTAAAATCCCACATTGAAAATTTTATGATCAATGGTTTAACTTTTTTTTTTAAACAAGATACAAATTATCATAAATCGTACAAATATGAAGTATCATTAGTAGATATTCATATTATAAATATGTTAATTTAAAAATTTCAGTGAAAAGGTTTGAGATTAGTAGATACAAATTATAGTATTCGAAAGATTTTTTTAGTTTGTTTTATTTGCTTTTTGAAAAAAATATCTTTTAGTTTGTTTAGATAATTTAGCTAATTTTAAATTAGATTTATTAATAGTTTAAATATTTTAAATTTTTTGTCAACTTTTAATGTTTAAAAAAATATTTTTTGGGATGATTTCAGATATTGGTTACAATCCAATTTAAACCGAATTGAGAAGACCAAATCGAATCCAATCCGATAATTAGTAAAATTTAAATAGGATTTATGAGAATAATACCTAAATCTGAAAATACATCTCAATCAAACCAAAACCGACGAAGTCTCAAACATCCAGACCTGTGATGATTTAAGATACCAAAATTTGTATTCATCATTTTATAATCGATAAATAATGTAGTATTGCAAAATGTTAAAAATACTTTAATGAATAAGTATTGGTATAAAAATTTCACCCCGCGCATGCGCGCGGGTTATCATCTAGTAAGAAAATAAATTATGATTTGACAGGAGAATATAACCTCTAGGATTTAGAGTATCTCAAAAAATGAACTCCATTTTGAAATTTCACGAACTCTATATTTGAAATTTCAAACTGTTCTTCTCCAAAATAAAAACTTCAAAACTGACTTAAAAATTATTTGTATATTACATTATGGTCCTTATATTTGTAACAATTAATGAAATTCCATAAAACTTTGATAAATAGCAAACACATATATAAAAATATTACAACAATATTAAATGATAAAAGTTTACATGAAAATAGAAAACTGGAAATAGAAATATATAATTAAATATTAAAATACAACCAAAATACCACATTATTCCATAAAATTATTTCCGTAATGCTTCCATATGTGATCAACTAATGCATTTCGAAGTAAGAAATGACTCTCTTTATTTTAATCTGTAGATTACGAGCTAAAATTTTTTGAAGTATTGATGATGGTGGATCAAGTTCATGTTCTATTGGATCGAAGAAAGCAAAACTCAAAAGGAAGACTACCGAAGGTAATAATAATATGGTGGCTGATACTTTGATATCATCCAATGAACAAATCCTTGATTTTTTAAAAGAAAGTGCAACAAGCAGAGATAAAAATCATGAGATGATTGAATTACGAATGAAAAATGAAGTAAGAAAGTTAGCTTTAAAAGAAGTAAAAGAGGAAAATAAAATATTGCTAAAAAACTTAGCTTCTATCGGTGATATTAATACTCGTGAGTACATTCATTCTGAACAAGAAATAATCATACCTAAAAGACGTCAAGAACAACCATCTTCGGTTACAAAAAACTTGTTTGCATTTGAAGATTTTGGAGCTTCCGGGGGAGATTTACCAGATTTTTAGTGTTGTTGTAATATTTAAATTTCTATAATAATTATGTTTTCATGTACCTTTTTTAAAAAATAATTTTAATTAAGTTTGTTTTGTAATATTCTTGTTGTCTACTTCTACTTTTAAAATAATATAAATTTTATAAAAAAAATTATTTAATCTTATGTGTAAAGCTTAATTTATAGAAATAAATTTGAAGTTATAGAGACTCTTTTGGAGATGCTCTTAGTACGAAAATCATAAAATAGTAATTAAAAAATTGTTTTTGGTCAAAAAAATAAATAAAAGTAATTAAAAAATTGCTATAAATACTACTTGTAGCTTCAAGCCTTTACGCTATCTGCAACAAAAGCATAAGCCTGTGAACCATTCTCCATATGATACGAAGTCAAAATGTCTCAATGGTCGAAGACTGTATTGAGTATACTAGAGTGTACTATTGACCTCAAATACTTGTATAGAAACAGAGGCTTTAGTACACTTAACCATATTCTCTACACTTGTATATAAAGAACTATCATGTACATTTTCTCATTAATCTAAGATACAATTTTAAGTTCTTGAGCTCTTTCTCTCTCGTTCTTGTTATGGTATCAGAGCGTAACAAACTTTCCGCCATTTTCAACGATTTTGAGCTTCGATTCTCACCATGAGTGCTTCGATTTCATCTCTTCTCTTCGATTTGTTCATTTCCGTGGTGATTCGAGCTCTGGATCTCATCGTTTTTGTTTGTTTCGTCGTTCTTCTTCGCTTCGCGTGTTGATTGAGTCTTGATTTCATCCTTTCGAGCTCCGATTCGCATCATCTTCGTCTCTTTTCACCGTTCGATCTTCGTTTTTCAATTCATCTCTCTCGATGGCAACTTCTCCAACATCTTCGTCTCGATCAATTGTTGATCAATACGAGAATCCTTACTACCTTCACAACTCAGATCATGCCGGCTTGAATCTTGTTACGGATCGCCTTTCTTCTGGAGCTGACTTTCATTCTTGGCGCCGATCTATTCGAATGGCTCTCAATGTGAGAAACAAACTTGGCTTCATTGACGGTACTATCTTGAAACCCCCTGCTAATCATAAAGACTCTGGTGCGTGGTCTAGATGCAATGATATAGTCTCTACGTGGTTAATGAATTCGGTTTCAAAGAAGATAGGTCAGAGCTTGCTGTTTATGTCTAGTGCTGAGTGTATTTGGAAGAATCTTATGACTCGTTTTAAGCAAGATGATGCTCCTCGCATTTATGAGATTGAACAGAAACTGAGTTCTATACAGCAAGGATCTTTGGATATCAGTACGTATTATACTGAATTGGTCACGCTTTGGGAGGAGTATCAAGATTATGTTGACCTTCCTGTGTGTACTTGTGGCAAGTGTGAGTGTAGTGCTGCTGTTTCGTGGGAGAAGTTACAACACAGGAGTCGTGTTATGAAGTTTTTGATGGGATTGAATGAGTCTTATGAAGCTACAAGACGTCATATCTTGATGTTGAAGCCTATCCCATCTATGGAAGAAGTTTTTTAACTTGGTGATTCAGGATGAGCGTCAGAAGAGTATTAAACCGACTACTCCTGTTGATAATGTGGTTTTCCAGAGTTCTGCATCTAATCCAGATCAGTCTCAATACTCTGGACCTGTTGAGAATGCGGCTTATGCAGCTGCTATGAACAATAACTATCGTTCTCGACCTCGACCAATGTGTACTCACTGTGGAGTTGCAGGACATATTGTCCAGAAGTGTTTTAAACTTCATGGTTACCCTCCTGGTCATCGGTTCTATAATAATTCTCAACGTGGCAATTCGCAGACTAATACTTCTTCTGGTGCTTCTCAACGTTCTACTCAGACGAAACCGACACAGTCTTACTCTAAGCAGAATCAGGTTGCTAATGTCTCAGCTGCTTCTCCTTCGTCTGGTGTCTCGTTGGATCTGAGTGGTTTTCATCCTGAACAAGTTCAGAAGCTTATTCAGCAGTTACAGTCTCACATACGAACTCCTGAACCTGTTGCTTCACAGTCATTGGTTAATGCGTCTATCACAGACAACGGTTTCATGGCTGCTCAGTCTTCCAGTGGTATTGTCTCTTTTCCTTCCACTAGTCTCCGTTTTGAACATCAAACTTTAACCTTTCAGCACCAAACACTTTCTTCTTTATCCACTACTATCCCTTTAGGTTCTTGGATTATAGATAGTGGTGCTACTACACATGTTTGTTCTGACTTGTCTCTCTTTAGTTCAGTGTCTCTTGTTTCAGGAATAACAGTTTCTCTTCCAAATGGTACTAAGGAACCAATCACTCACACTGGCACTGTGCATTTATCTGACTCTCTTGTTTTGCATAATGTTTTGCATGTTCCTTCCTTCCGTTTCAATCTCATCAGTGTTAGTAGTCTGTTAATTCAACATCGTCATTCTGCTCATTTCTTTTTTGATTCTTGTCATATACAGGAGCATACTCAGGGCTTGATGATTGGTAGAGGTTCTGTCATTCACAATCTTTATGTTCTTGATCAGCATTTTCATTCTCCGTCTTTGAACTTCTGTGGATCCTTGAAGGTTGATGGTTCTCTTTGGCATCAACGCCTCGGTCATCCATCTTCTGCCAAGTTACAACATCTCTCTGCTGATATTGCTTTAGATAAGTCCACTTTACTTGAGTCTTCACCTTGTTCTGTTTGTCCCTTAGCTAAGCAACGTCGTTTACCCTTTCCTCATAAGAATAATATGTCTCAGGAACCATTTGATCTTATTCATATAGACACTTGGGGTCCTTTTAGTGTTGAATCTGTTGAGGGATATAGGTATTTTCTGACCATTGTAGATGACAATACTCGTGTAACTTGGATCTATATGATGAAATATAAAAGTGATGTTTCGGTTATCTTACCTTCCTTTGTTAAACTTGTGCGTACTCAGTATAAAGCTAATATCAAAATGATTCGTAGTGATAATGCTCAGGAACTAGCTTTCTCAAATTTGATTCGCGAACATGGTATTTTACATCAATTTTCATGTGCTTATACTCCACAACAGAACTCTGTTGTTGAGCGTAAACATCAACACCTTTTGAATGTAGCTAGAGCATTAATGTTTCAATCTTACATGCCACTGCAATATTGGAGTGACTACATTCTTACTGCTGTCTTCTTGATTAACCGAACACCATCTTTGCTTTTAGACAAATTATCACCATTTGAAAAACTTACTGGTCAGAAACCTGATTACAGTTTTCTTAAATCTTTTGGCTGCCTTTGCTATGTTTCTACTTTACAAAAGGATAGACATAAGTTTTCTCCTCGTGCTGAATCATCTGTCTTTTTAGGCTATCCTTCAGGTATCAAAGGTTATAAAGTTCTTAATCTTGAAACTCGAATTGTTTCTGTGTCTCGTAATGTCATTTTTCAAGAAACAGAGTTTCCTTTTTTGAAGATTAATGATACTTCCACTCCTGATACTATATTCTCTCATTCAATCTTGCCATTACCTGTTCCCATTGCCATTGATTCTTTGCATCATCAATCATTTGATTCACCATTAGCTCATGTTTTACCCAATGCATCATCTTCGCATGTTTCACCTCATACATCATCTTCACATGTTTCTTCTGATGCATCTTCTTCACATGATTCGGTTCCTTCTCTTGTACCTTTGGCAAGACCTACTGTTGTTTCTGGAACAACAAACATTGGACCTGAGAGGACACGTCCAAAACGAGCAGGTAAGGCACCAACTTATCTTTCTGATTACCATTGCTCTTTAATCTCAATGGATTCTTCTTTACAAGACCATTTTGTTTCAAATACTATTTCTTCCTCTTCCCCACTTTATCCGCTTTCCTCAGTTCTCTCTTACAATAAACTTTCTCATTCTTTTAAAGATGCTCTTCTCACTTGTTCTCTTGAGACAGTACCAACATCTTTTAAGCAGGCTGTGAAATCTGAGTTTTGGACCAAAGCCATGAATGTGGAGTTTGAGGGAATGGAACGTAATGAAACTTTTACTGTTGTTTCTTTGCCTCCTGGTAAAAATGTGGTGGGTTGCAGATGGATCTATACTCTTAAGTATAATGCTGATGGCACTATTGAGAGACCTAAAGCTCGTCTTGTTGCTAAGGGTTTTACTCAACAAGAAGGTTTGGATTACACTGACACCTTCTCTCCGGTTGCCAAGATGACGAGTGTGAAGCTTATTCTTAGTCTTGCTGCTTCACATGGTTGGAGTTTGGATCAGATGGATGTTACTAATGCCTTTTTGCATAGTACACTTGATGAAGACATTTATATGAGCTTACCGTTGGGATATACTCCTCCTCCTTGTGTTCCTTTGCCACCAAATCCTGTTTGTCGTCTCAACAAGTCCTTGTATGGTCTTAAGCAGGCTTCTCGGCAATGGTACACTTGCTTCTCAACGGTTCTGTTATCTGATGGCTTCTCTGCCTCTCCTGGAGATAATTCTCTTTTTGTGAAGACTTATGGTTCTTCCTTCATTGCCTTGCTTGTGTATGTCGATGACATTCTTATCGCAAGTAATGATCCACAGGCTGTTCTTGATGTAAAGAAGGTTTTACATCAGGCTTTCAAGATTAAGGATCTTGGTCCTGCTCGTTTCTTCCTTGGACTGGAGATAGCAAGGAACTCTACTGGTATTTCTTTATCACAACGGAAATATACTCTTGATTTGTTAGCTGACACAGGTTTACTTGCCTCTAAACCGTGTGCTGTTCCTATGGATCCTTCCATTCCGTTGAGTTCAACAACTGGTTGTCCACTTCCTGATGCTACTCCCTATCGAGAGTTAATTGGTCGATTGTTGTATCTCACCATCACGAGACCGGACATCACTTATGCAGTTCATCGCTTGAGTCAGTTTCTCTTTGCTCCTACGGATGTGCATTTCCAGGCTGCTCAACGTATCATGAGGTATCTGAAGTGTAACCCTGGTCAAGGTCTGTTTTATGCTGCTGATTCAGAGACTTGTTTGAATGCCTTTGTTGATGCTGATTGGGCTGCTTGTCAAGACACTAGGCGTTCTGTTACTGGCTTTTGTGTTTATCTTGGCAAGTCTCTGATAAGTTGGAAGTGTAAGAAGCAGCAGACAGTGAGTCGTAGCAGTACAGAGGCTGAGTATAGGAGTATGGCTTTGGCGACTTGTGAGCTTATTTGGTTGCAGCAGTTGTTAAACGACTTGAAGATCTCAGTCAAGCATACGGCTAAGCTCTTCTGTGACAACAAATCTGCCATCCATATTGCTACTAACCCTGTGTTTCATGAGCGAACCAAACACATAGAGATCGATTGTCACACTACACGTGATCAAGTGAAGAAAGGATTCATCAAGCTTATTCATGTGGTCAGTGCTGATAATCATGCAGATATCTTCACCAAACCGCTTCATCCATCACCTTTTCATCACATTCTTTCTCGAATGTCTGTTTCAAGCCTCTTCTCTCCATCACTACCTTCCATTTCAGAGGCTTGAGGGGGGCGTATTGAGTATACTAGAGTGTACTATTGACCTCAAATACTTGTATAGAAACAGAGGCTTTAGTACACTTAACCATATTCTCTACACTTGTATATAAAGAACTATCATGTACATTTTCTCATTAATCTAAGATACAATTTTAAGTTCTTGAGCTCTTTCTCTCTCGTTCTTGCTAGACTGCCTGAAGAAAATCTTGTCCCGATGCTGCAGCTCCGAGCTGTCCAGAGAACTCAAAGGACTCTAAAAACGGGAAGATAAGCTTTGATGTTCTAGTTCTACAAAGGTATTCCCTGTCTCTGCCTTTCTCAAACACGTGACACGTTTCTGGTTAAGAAAGCTGTATCTCCATCAAGTAGACCGGATCAACAACGGCTTTGCGGTTAACTGAGAAACGTAGAGAACAGGTTCTTTTCTCAGGATAAGCCTGAACACCTCCAAGCTTAAGCTCAAGGAAACAATGGTCCATCTGGTTGACAGTTAGAACAGGTCTGATCGTCTCACCAAGTGCTTCGGGAAGTACTGTCTCGGTCTGAACACAGACACCTTCAATGCAGTCAACCACCACAAGAGCAGCTGTGACTTCGGATGAGAAGTCAACGTGGGCAGGGGAGTCAATCAGATTAATCAGATACTCATTCCCCATCTCTCTGGCCTTTGTAGTTCTTGAGTGGATTTGATTGTGATACCACGTTCTGCTTCCTCTGCACGTGTATCAATAATACTCATATACGAACATCATCAGTAACTTCTTGTGCAATGATTCCAGCAGCAGCTACAAGAGAATCAATAAGAGTTGATTTACCTGTAACATCAAAAGTATGATGATGAGCAAAGAGTCATAGTTTTATAATTTAATATTTATTTATTTCTAAATCATAATAATTATAATATTCATTCAGTATCATTTTTTTTCATTTTTATCAGTTAGAACATGAAAACAAAACCTAAGAGCAAGCCACAAAATCTTGAATTCAAAAGCCAACTTGAGGAAGCTTGAGGAAGAGAAACACAAACCTGTAGACTAGAATTGAAGAGGAAGACAAGCATATACTTGGATAGACGTGGATAAACATAATTTGAAACTAACAGTCATACTTAAAAACTGTTAGCACTATGAATATAAAAATATATCCTAAGACATACTATGTGATCTAAGTGCTACAAGAAGACCAATACAAGGGAAAAGAACGCATTAATTCTTGTTGGCAAGTCCTTGGAACACACAAGTAGAGATCTTTGTTCTCTGTCATCTTTTTAATGAATGATAAGGTACATCAAATCTTCTCGCGTTAAGGTAGAGATTGAAACTCCATCTTCTGCATTTGGTCTTATGAAGTTACCATCCTTTGTGATCCTAACCTTCTTTCTGCTCTCATTTGGCTCAAGATGAACTTTCTTGTAAACCACCTTTAAAGAGAAAAAATCCGGATACTTTGGGATCAAGTTACTCTTAAAGTCCAGGGGTAAACCCATCACAGACTGAATAAACTCAACCTTCTCCAAAGGCACTCTAAAATCAGCAGACATTATCAACAACTTCCTCAATTTGTTAACAAGATCAGGTTCCATTGACTCTATAGCTTTACCTTCCTCAGCTGCAATCTGTTGAGCTTTCTCAGGCAACATATCACAAGGAGGTTCTCTATTTCCAGATTCACCTTACTCAGCTGCAATCTTTTGTCACATGTTTATTGCATCAGGCACATATATGAAGATGGGTCCTTGTGTTGGAAATGAAGATATGGGAACCAAGTTATGGCTAATGAGCTCAATAAGCTCTATGAATGTTCCCGTGGAGAATGATTTGGCAGGGAGGTACAATTTCCTAAGTTGTACGATCATTTTGCTATAATCAAATACTCTTTTGTGTCTGTTTGTAGGTGATAATGAGAATTTTAATGGGGACATATGCAGCACTCTCTAGCGGCTTACTACAATGCATACTACGTACAAGAAAGCCCAACATGTACGTAACCTCGTATCTTCAAATGCATCAATAGAAGTTTAAAAGGTTTGGATCAGTAACAAATATGTTGTTCTTGGTTTTGATATTGGTGAGAACATTAATCCAAAAAGACTTAAAACCGGTGCTAGATCATAATGATATCCTTATCTCTCCAGCAGCTCTATCTGCTGCATACAAGAGTGGTGAAAAGAAAGATGACCCATTAGCAATGTATGCTGGAGACATTATATGTTGAAGATAATCTTAAAGTGAGTAAAGATAGCGTGGATACCAAGCAAGCTAAAGACTATCCTAATCAGGAGATAGACTTGGGTTTGTAGTTATCTAAACAAAGTCTTATTAAGTCGGTTATGTGAGGTTATCTCTATATATAAGATATGCGAGTATGTTTGCATATTGTGTGAGATTTAGAGATTAACTTTGTGAGNTAGTTATCTAAACAAAGTCTTATTAAGTCGGTTATGTGAGGTTATCTCTATATATAAGATATGCGAGTATGTTTGCATATTGTGTGAGATTTAGAGATTAACTTTGTGAGAGTTTGAGTTTTGAGTCAGTTTCTCAAGCTAATAAGAGTTGTGTTTTTCTTATAATCTTTGAATCTTATTGAGTGATTGAAACAATATTTGGTATCAGAGCCAAAAACATCCGTAACCATGGGAGATCTTTCAACCGTCATCAACAAACCTAAGGAACCATCCTCGACTTCGATAAGTTGCCCTATGTTAACCACCACAAATTATACTGTGTGGTCGATCAGGATGAAGATACTGCTTAAGGTCCATGAAGTCTGGGAACTTACTGAAACAGAGTCAAACGATGTCAAAAAGAATAATTTGGCAATTGCCTTAATATTCCAGTCAATTCCTGAGACTCTAGTCCTGCAAGTAGGAGAACTAGACACAGCAAAGAAGGTGTGGGAACCCCTGAAATCAAGACATCTAGGAGCAGATAGGGTCAGAGAAGCAAGACTACAAACACTGAATGTAGAATTTGATCACTTGAAGATGAAGGATAACGACACCATCGATGACTTCGTCGGCAAGATATCAGAGATATCTTCTCGATCTTTGGCGTTAGGAGAAACAATGGATGAGTCTAAGATGGTGAAGAAGTTTCTTAAGAGCTTACCTAGGAAAAAATACATTCACATTGTAGCTTCGTTAGAACAACTTCTAGACCTAAAAGAGATTGGTTTCGAGGATGTGATTGGGCGTATGAAGGCTTATGAGGAAAGGATCAAAGAAGAGGAGGAAGAAGAACAAAGTGATCAAGCAAAATTGATGTATGCAAATTCAGAGTCACAAAACAACCAATCCTATGGAGATTACAGAGGCAGAGGTCGTGGAGGACGTTTGTATGGTAGAGGACGAGGCCGTGGAAGATACGGAAGAGACATAGATTTGTCTAAAGTACTATGTTTCAGATGTGATAAGCCAGGACATTTTGCGACAAGTTGTCCTGACCGTTTGTTGAAACTTCAAGAAGCTTATGAAGCAAAGAACGATGAGACACAAGAAGCTGATAAACTGTTAATGCATGAAGTTGTTTTTCTTAATGAGAAAAATGTAAAACCCAAGGAACTCGAGTGTGATGCTGACAATGAGAGAGTATGGTATCTGGATAATGGGGCCAGCAATCACATGACTGGTATAAGAGATTACTTCAAGAACTTGGATGAAAGCATCACGGGAAAGGTTAGATTTGGGGATGACTCAAGAATTGATATCAAAGGCAAAGGTGCTATTCTGTTCATAAGCCAACAAGGAGACCAAAAGATACTTACAGATGTGTACTTCATACCCGAGTTAAAGAGCAATATTATCAGCTTGGGGCAAGCTACAGAAGCAGGGTGTGAGATACGCATGAAAGGAAAGCAGCTTACACTTCATGACAAAGATGGGAAACTCATTGTTCAAGCAAAAAGATCACAGAACCGACTGTATAAAGTTTTGATGGATCTTGTTCCTACTAACTGTTTTCAGGTATCAGTCTTGAATGATTACAGCAGATGGCATGCAAGGTTAGGCCACATTGGCGTAAACACATTGAAGGCGATGATAAAGGATGATGTTGCTGTGGGAATACCAAACTTGAGTATTGAGAATGAGACGTGCACTGCGTGTTTACTTGGAAAACAAACAAGACGACCATTCCCTACTACAACCTTGTACCGAGCTACAAAGAAACTTGAATTGATTCACGGAGATCTATGTGGTCCTATCACACCGTCTACAGCAGGAGGGAGCAGATATATATTTGTTCTAATTGATGACTATAGCCGGTATATGTGGACAATATTGCTACAAGAGAAGAGTGAAGCATTTGAGAAGTTTAAGAGGTTCAAAGCAATGATAGAAGGAGAAACAAAGGAGAAGATTAACACTCTCAGAACCGATAGGGGAGGAGAATTCACCTCAATAGAGTTCAGAGACTTCTGTGAAGCTGCAGGAATCAACAGACATCTAACAGCTCCGTACTCTCCTCAGCAGAACGGGGTTGTAGAACGCAGAAACATGACTCTTTTGGAGATGACTCGAAGCATTCTGAAGCACATGTCTGTGCCTAATTACTTATGGGAGAGGCAGTTCGACACTCTACGTATCTGATCAACCGAGTCTCAACTAGAACGCTGGTGTCACAGACTCCATATGAAGTATTCAAGGGAAGGAAGCCTAACATAGATCATTTGAGAGTTTTTGGTTGTCTTAGCTACGCAAAGACAGAGAACCAACATCTGAGGAAACTAGATGATCGAACAAGAGTACTAATAAACCTAGGCACAGAACCAGGATCAAAGGCGTATAGGCTATTGGATCCAACAAAACAGAGAGTGGTAGTGAGTCGAGATGTTGTTTTTGACGAAAGCAGAGGGTGGAAGTGGAAGACCACAACAGAAGATATCCACGAGAAACCAGGCATGTTTAGAATATCACTTGGAGAACACGGGAATAACGGTATTCATGAGGAAGAAGCAGGAACAGAGGAGCAAACCAGTGTAACGGATGTGGAAATCAACAATGAGGAAGCATTAACACCACAAATCGAAGCAGAGCAAGACTCATTAAGAATATCAACAAGGATCACTAAACGTCCAGGTTACCTAGATGATTATGTATCCTTAGCTGACGTAGAGGGAGAAAGGCTACTGTTATCCATCAATGATGAGCCGTGGGATTTCAGTGAGGCCATTAAAGAACAAGTATGGAGAGACGCCTGTGCTGCAGAGATTGACTCTATAGTCAAGAATGATACATGGGAACTCGTTGATCTTCCTTTGGGAGCAAAAGCCATTGGCCTTAAGTGGGTTTTCAAAGTGAAACGAAACTCTGATGGAAGCATCAACAAACACAAGTCAAGGTTAGTTGCAAAAGGATATATTCAAAGGCATGGAATAGACTATGAGGAGGTGTTCGCGCCAGTTGCAAGAATAGAAACAGTGAGGTTCATTATTGGGTTGGCTGCTTCAAATGGCTGGGAAGTTCACCATTTAGATGTCAAGACAGCATTTTTAAATGGAGATCTCAAGGAACTCGTGTATTTGTCTCAACCAGAAGGCTTCGTTGTGGATGGTAGTGAAAGCAAAGTGTACAAGTTAAAGAAGGCTCTGTACGGCTTAAAACAAGCACCACGTGCTTGGAATGAGAAGCTGAACAAAGTACTTGGTGAACTTGAGTTCGTAAAATGCAGCAAGGAACCATCTCTGTTTAGAAAGAAAAAGGATGATGATTTGTTGCTTGTGGCAGTTTATGTTGATGATCTGCTTATCACTGGATCAAAAGTTGAGATGATTCACGAATTTAAGGCAGGAATGTCATCAAAGTTTGATATGAGAGATCTTAGATTGCTCACATATTATTTAGGCATTGAAGTGGTGCAGTTTGATGGAGGTATTACACTGAAACAAGAAGGATATGCTAACAGGATTCTAGAGGAGACAAGTATGGATGAGTGCAATGCTGTACAAATCCCTATGGATGCAGGTTTGAAGTTGACCAAAGCGCAAGAGGAGAGAAGTGTAGATGAGAAAGACTACCGAAGGGTTATTGGTTGTCTCCGGTATCTTCTCCATACGAGACCGGACATGTCTTACTCAGTGGGTGTGTTGAGCAGATATATGCATGAACCAAAAGAAAGTCACAGTACTGCTTTGAAGCAGATTCTGAGATATCTAAAGGGTACAGTCACATATGGGTTAACATTTGTCAAGACAAGAAACTCGGAGCTAGTTGGATACTCTGATAGCTCTCACAATACTGATGCTGACGATGGAAGGAGCACAACTGGTCATTGTTTCTACCTGAACAATTGTTTGATCACGTGGTGCTCACAGAAGCAAGAGACAGTTGCTTTAAGTTCGTGTGAAGCCGAGTTCATGGCAGCCACTGAAGCAGCAAAACAGGCTATTTGGTTAAAGGAGCTACTTGCAGAGATATTCGAGAAGCCAAGCAAGAAAGTAACGATAAGGCTGGACAACAAATCTGCAATTGCTCTTACTAAAAATCCAGTGTTTCACGGTCGTAGTAAACACATTCATAAGAGGTACCATTTTATAAGAGAGTGCGTGGACAACGACCAGATTGAAGTAGAGCACATTGCAGGAACATTACAGAAGGCTGATATACTCACTAAAGCTTTGGGAAGAATAAAATTCAAGGAGATGAGAGAGCAGGTGGGAGTTCAAGATGTGAAGGATACTCACTTCAAGATTAAAGGAGTGAATGTTGAAGATAATCTTAAAGTGAGTAAAGATAGCGTGGATACCAAGCAAGCTAAAGACTATCCTAATCAGGAGATAGACTTGGGTTTGTAGTTATCTAAACAAAGTCTTATTAAGTCGGTTATGTGAGGTTATCTCTATATATAAGATATGCGAGTATGTTTGCATATTGTGTGAGATTTAGAGATTAACTTTGTGAGNTAGTTATCTAAACAAAGTCTTATTAAGTCGGTTATGTGAGGTTATCTCTATATATAAGATATGCGAGTATGTTTGCATATTGTGTGAGATTTAGAGATTAACTTTGTGAGAGTTTGAGTTTTGAGTCAGTTTCTCAAGCTAATAAGAGTTGTGTTTTTCTTATAATCTTTGAATCTTATTGAGTGATTGAAACAATATTATAGTGGTACAAACGCTTGTTTAGACTCTCTTTAATCGGTTTTACGATAGCATAAAACATTTGGAATCACTTGAGATTGTTTGTTGCACGTCGGAAAAAAACAATGTGAATCTTGCAGGACTTCCTGCGATTGTATCACCATGTGGATTTGTCCAAGACTTCAAGGAGGTCCCTCTGGTTTACCTGTTGGTCTTGAAATGATCGGTTCATCCTTTGATGAGGTTTGTTATGTAAATATTTGCTTAATCTCAAGGTTAGATTAAAGAACTAGTGATGACCGAGTGATGTTATTGTTAATAGGTTTAGGAAAAATTGCTGAAAATGGGTCACATATTTGAGCAGACTTTCAAATGGTTCAAGCTTTGTTCCTCTATTGTTTACCAAACGTCGCTTAAACATGAAAGCATGAAGGGGTCTTTTTCTTATTGAGATTTACTCTCATGCTTTGTTTATGTAAAGCAAATTTATAATTTAATTTCTATATATTCTTTAACTACAAATGTAGATGCTCGGTATATTATCATTTTTATAATTTATGTTCTTGCAATTGCATTCATGCACTTGGTTGTTCTTATGCAGTTGTATCATTATACGGCTGTATCATTATTCAGTAAGACATCAATATACGATCTTTAAAATATACACCATCTGTTTTATATTATCTGATATTTTGGTTTAATGTACAAATTATTATGAAAACTTTATAAGAATATGAGAGGAAATGTCCTCTACGTGTACCAACACATATCTTAGCAAAGAGACCAAAACCATTACACGCTTCAAATAAACTATAAGTACTTTGAAAAAGGATTAATTTATATGAAACTACATGGAACTAAACGATATGTATAGATTACTTCATTTTCTAGAATATTTTTAGCAGAAATCATGTGTTAACTTGTAATCATGCAAACATATTAAACTCATGTAATCTAGTGGTCCATGCGAATATCTGTCTCCAGTGGAAGATCTAAAATCCAACGGCTCAGAATTAAGCGTGCGCAATGTTTGACCTTTCGTCCAATGCATTAGAGTCACCACCTGGCACATGCAAATGATTTTCCTTTGGACGATATGTTTAGTTGTTATAACAGAACAAAATTATGTGCTAATATATTATATATTAGTTGCCATAAATGATGTTTAGATTAAACAATTAGCTATATTAATATCATCCCCATTGTTTGGTGACCCTAAATAACGGAACTAATTTTCTTAACTTTTGTTTTTGATAAAATAAAAACTTTTGTTTTTATGCAAGCATTTAAGTGAGTGCCTTTTCAAAAAGAACCATTTGTCTGAGTGTGTGAACGAGCCACATATGGTGATAAATGTAACTGATTTACGTATGCCTTTTTTTAGAGGTCATGTAGAACGAGGTTGTATAAAATAATGAAAGGCATATATAGACTAATACACATTACTTTCCTTTCAAAATCGAAGACACAAATCATTTGGATAGTGATTTGCAATTTGGCACCTAGCTTTTGACTAACCATCACGCATTACCCAATCACATTTGTTTTGGTTCTCACATAATGTTTATACAGAGCTCACAAAATGTTGTAATTCCCTTTTAGAACAACGTGATTTCATTTATACCAGTATAAACATTTTACTAAAATGCAATATAAGTTTCATGTAATATCAATGTTCAGTAATTTAATACTACTGTTTTAGTAAATATTTTCCTACAGACAACGTAACTTGAGGTAATCACGTACACGGTACACTACTACACCATCCTCCCACGTAAAGTCCAACTCGGCAATTCAAGCTTAGTAAATATAATGTTTTGTTTGGTTTCTAATCCATTATCGTTGACATTAAAAATTCTCAAAATATTCAAAATTCCATTGCTTGCGCGTCGCTTCCCCCATTTTCTTTGCTTTTCTTGTTTGACCGATTTACACATACACAGATGTACATGATATAAAATATAATACAGATAATTAATATGTATATAGGTTGGTCTATATGTATATATGTGCCGCTCATATCTTCAACCTTCTAAAAATCTAAAATCTATAAAACTCTAGCTAGTAGCTAAATCAAATGTGTTCTCCTCCTTTTTCCAAACATTGTATGAATCTTGGTCGCAAAACCATGTTTATGACTGTTTATTTCGCCATGATCCTCTTGGTTTTAGGGTCCTGCATCGCCGAGGCGAGGATGGGACCAATTAAGGTTTCTGAAATGGAGATAGTTCAAACAAGATCAAGATCGTTAAGACATGAGTTCAAAGATGGTTTTAGATTCAATGGTCGTGTGTTCCATATTTTGTCTAAACGGGGACTTGTACCACCTTCGGGGCCTTCCAGAAGGCATAATTCTGTGGTGAATGATCTCAAAAACTAATTGGTTTCTTTTTAATTTGTTGTTTAGTTGATTTTCTGACATATCATTATATACACTTTTAGAAGATTCTTGAAATTTTTTTTTTTGGGCGAGGTTTTGGTCCTTTTAATATATGTTTTTGTTCATTTTATACATCATTTATTTTCATTCATATCTGTAATATCTCGTTGGAAAGTGATACATACGTACGTATTCCCGCTATTCCTTCATATCAAATCTCTTCGAAAATAATAGGAGTATCAATATGAATGGAATAATCTACCTTCTCGGCTAGAGTTTCTTATTGGTAGATAATTTGTAACTATATACTTGGTCATTTAACTCTTGACCGTCAAGCTCACTGATTGATCTTATATTTGAAAGAATATGTATATCATGAAAACAAAAACGAAAAATACATTAGTTTTGAAGGTTTAACAAATAAAATGAATGCCTAATAATGTAGATCATGTTTTAGACTCATTTAGCCTTTTCAACTCTGATGCATAAGAGAAAAGCATGAAACTAATTGACGAAACCTGTTTAATATGACAGAAAATGCTTATTCAATCCAGGCGGGGCACAATTCTTGACTGATTGAAGTTATCTAAAGGGAGTTAAAGAAGAGTTAGACCAACATTATTGCTGGGACATAATTTTGAGTTCTTAGCTTTTCTTATTATTATTTTTAGAGTAAGAGACATTATTAAGAAACAATAGCAAATATGCACATTATTGCTGGAACTATATATCATCTCTTAGTAATTAACATCTTAATTTTAAGACATAGTCATTTCAAAGATAATTGACATTACAAAGTTGCATCCTTGAAGCCAAAACAACAACAACAAAGTTCCATCAAACAACAACCATCACCACATAGTAATACACACATACAAACAACCACCAAACTAGCCCCTCTTGCTGCTAGAATATTTCTTTAGTATTTGGCGGCACTCTTCGCTTTCAGGACAAACACACAACAAAGGAGCAGTTTTGCCATCTCCAACGACATTGAAGACCACTACGCAACCAACGTCGTATCCGTTATCACAACAGAAAAATAAACGAATGAAAGACACTTATTGCATCTATCAGTCAATACAATATAAAACATTTAATCACAAACCAAAAATCATTTCTTAAATGAGCACACCTACTTGTTACAGAAGTTATTACGATCATAACAACCAAAAAGCAATCAATTAATAAGTACGAAACATAAACCTATGGTTCACGAGTTGTGTTCAAACTCGACTAGGTACTCATCAAGTAAATGAATAAAAACATTGCCTTTCTAACACCAATAACTAAACCTATGGTATACAATCAAACACATAGACCAAGGAAATAAACTCAGATTGCACAGAGTATACAATCCGTCACCAAACCGTCAAAACAGACCAATCAAACCGTCAAAACAGACCAATCGAACTCGAGTCCAGACACAACGCATGCAAAAACGAATCAAAACAAAAACAAAATCAACAAATGGTTTAGATTCAGACAAGGAACACATACCTGTTGTAGATTCGATGCGGCACGGTGAGAATGAGAAGAGAGACACGAGAGAGAGAGCAGATCAACCGTTGCCGTATCGCATGCAGAAAACGAATCAAAACAAAAATAAAATCAACTAATGATTTAGATTCAGATAAGGAACACATACCTGTTGTAGATTCGATGCGGCACGATGAGAATGAGAAGAGAGACACGAGAGAAAGAGCAGAGAAATCGGTCTGTATCGCCCACGAAATCGGCGTCTCGAGAGAGAGAAAAGAGAAACAGGATGAGAATGAAATCCAGACCAAAAGTCGACTTCCCTCTACCGCTTCCGTTTCCCTTTCGCGGAGTGACACGTGTTCTAAGGACCAGGCCCAAAAACTTCTTAATTAACCAACGTCTCTTTCTTTTACAGACAGTTTTGATTTATTTTTGGGCTCAAATTGGGTTGGAGACGAGGCTAAGAAGCCCCAATAATCTTGGTCTTAGTAACCAAAGTTTTTAGCGCATGGAAACTTTTCGGCTTGTCGGCCTTGTCGGGCCGTATCTCATATGTTCTACTCTCTAAAGCCCAAAAATGTAAACAACAAAAAGTATTTATTGAACTTTTTGATTGAACTTGGAAATAACTCTCCCCCCCCTTCTAGAATTGGTCTCATGTTCTCTCACTATAACTCAAACAATAAAATCTTCTAGCTTAAGAATAAGAAGAGGATACACGTAGCTTGAGAAAACCTGACTCTATCTATTCTCAAGTTTGATACAAACTGAAACAAACCCTGAGGCAAAAGCATGGTTTTAACTTTAAAGCACATGTACTTTAGATCTCTTTCTTCTTTTATTTAGCTATTTAAAAGAAAATCCAGTCACTTTTTTGTTTACTAAAAAACTTTCCAGTCATTCAAGCAACAGTTTTGTAGAGAAACAAACTTTTGCATTAAGATAATTCAAAATATTTGAGCATGTGCGAAAAGAAACAATGATTCCATAGAATATTGCTTCTAAATAACATTTCCCATATGTCATTATCTCATCATTAAACAAAAACACCATAATCAAAAACACAATATTACCTTCTTTAATCATTACTAATTTATGTGTTTCTTTTTCCAAATCAAACCCTTAGAAAATAAACACTAAGCTCAGGCCCACCACTTGACCCATCAGGATTCATCATGTAAAAAGCCTCCGAATCTCTCGACCCGATAACCCGCTCGAACTGGGCTCTCATATACATGAGCTCACCTTTCTCGGACCCCACCGCTTCACTCCCTTCTCCCCCCGCCGTTGCCGCCGCAGGTAAGACTCCGGCACCCATTGTAATAGGTCTCACCGCCTTCAACACTCTCCACTCTGCCTCTCCACACTCTTTCCTCGCCGAGTAACCGCACTTTCTGCCGTTACAGTACGTTCTCCACGTGGACTCTTCAAGTAGCTTCTTCGAGCCCGTCTTAAACGCTGCCGTTTCTAGCGCGATCCTCACGAGCCCTGAAGCCATTTCCTTGACGAGTATGCTCGTCGGAGTCGGTAGCTGGATCAGAACAGCTGGTAAACGGGTCGGGTCATCCTGTACGGAGAAGTACACGTGTCCACGACGGTTACCGAATAACGTACCCACGACACGGAAACCTAGACTCGAGTTAGAGAAACCAAGTGCATAACGGATCTTCTCTATTGTCTTTTTCTTCTTTTTCGTCTTTTTCATCACGTGTTGAGTATGGAACTGATCTGGTTGTGTCGGGTCGGAGGAAAAGTTGAAACGTGTCAAGATCTTTTCTTCGTTGTTGTTGTTGTTGTTGTCTTCTTCTTCTTCTTCCTCGTCGTCTTCTTCTTGAACCGTCTTCTTCTTCCAGTTAAAGTAGCGTTTAGAGAGAGAGAAGGAAGAGTCGAGAGAAGTGCTGGATAAGATTGACTTCATCTTTTACTACATGAAAGTAAGTACGAGAACTCTCTTTCAATGGAACCGAGACTTAAATATGTAGTTTGGAGTTGTCCTCTTGTTCTCTCTTAATGTAGTTTTTAAAGCGTGTGGGGGTTGATTTAATTTAATTGTAATTTAATATAACATGCAAGAAAAATATGTCTACCTATTGGTCAGGTTTCTATCATTATATTTTACGTATACTTTTTATTTATGTCTACATATGGAATCTCTTATCATGTTTTATAATATATCTTATGGTAATTTTAGTCTAGTGACGTACGTTTTTCCACATTCCATATGAATTTTAACAATTTTGATATTGAAGCCAGAGCGATAAATATGTGAAATACAAATCATTGTTAATATTTTTGGGTAAACTGTGACGTGTTAGCTAGTGTAAGGAATGAAAGATATGGCGTTTGACTAAGGCATCTTTGAAACCAAAACATCAAATTTTAAAATAAATTCATTTTTAACAACACACCAAATTTAATATCATTCATCAAATTTTATGTAAACTGAATAGTGTTATATCAAATTTTGTGTAACATTGTTTATCACACCAAATCTTAAAGTACATATTTATTATATTTAACTTAGTAATATATTTCACAATATATTGTTAATTAGTTCAAACTTTTAATTAAACCTAAAAATAATGTATTATTTGTATTTTTAAATCATTTTACATAATTAATTTTTCTTATTTTTCTATTAATGAATAAATCACTAAACTAGTACTATCATTTACGTCAAATTTTTGAAAAACAATATATCATAGAATTTTTAATTTTAACTTTGAAAAGTATAAAATTTTAATTAATATTTTATAAAATATAAAAGTCAATACTATAAGCTAGATTTAATAGTAACTAATTAAAATTTTATGTAATACTATTAGATTTATCAAACATTAAAATAAAATTTTTATTTTATAAATTAAACTTGTATTACTAACTAAAAATATCAAAATAAATATATTATTTTGTTATCTACTTTTCATTGTTGATAATTTATAATGTTGAATATAACTAATATTTTACATAGAGTAAATACATACAGATATAATATTGGTAAACCAAAGAATATAAATGTAAATAAATGTTATAAATATAAAACTACAAAATTTAACAAACATAATAGATAAATGTGATAGAATAATTATTTATCAATTAAAAAAATTAAAACTGAAAAATTAAATAATATGTAATATCAATTTTGGTATAAAATTTAATGTTATTGTTGTATATGACAAAAAAAATTAACATCAAAATATCAAATTTGGTGTAAGACCAAATTTGTTGTCTTTGTTGGAGGAGATGCCTTAAAGTAATGAATCATCAACTTAAATAGTAACCAAACTAAACTTAAATGGTTCTGTCTTATTGGACTCTTTACTGAATTTTAGATTATCATAAATTAGAATTAATGAATTATCATAAATTAGAAGCACTGTCCTGCAAATCTACGCTAACTACTCCTAAAATAACGTTTATTTGTTTAGTAAAAAAAAGAGTGGGTCTTATTTGTTAAGAGGCAAAGATGGATGTGATAGAAAATATAAAAAGAAAAAGAAAGAGGTGAGACAAGCGAGGGCGGTGAGCAGCCACCACCTAACCGTAGATTAAGGAACTGTCTTCATCGGGACTTATGAATAAGACATATCACACATCAAATCGACATTAAACCTTTGTCATTTTTACACAGATAAATTGTCTATTTGGTTAAATCTATATATGTCTTCCTATAGAGATTTAAGGAGACAAGGTGTGCGATTGATCAATCAATGTCTCATCGATAGTGTGGGCTATCGATAGTTGACAAATTTGTCTACCTTTTACACTCGTACACATTAAATTCTTGTAAACCTTTTCATAAACACAAATGTCTTCTCTTAGTAAACTTTTTTTTTTATCAAAGAAATATGAAAAGAAACATTTGGTGGTTTCACCTCTTTGCCCTAAACCCAATAGCATTGTAAATAGTTTTTCTTACCGCGAGTTAAATTTAAATGGCGAAAATTACAGTCGTAACCCTTTTATTATCAAGTCAACTTGATGTTGGTCAAACTGTGAGGGGTTTAATTTCTTTTATAGTGACTAGCCCCATTCTGAAGGGTACCCACACATAAATCCTCAAAGCATGCCCGAGAAACAAACTGTGTAGGATTTAACTGTTTAGAGCATGTTTAATGGAGGTTGCTTAGAGAGTTGCTTATAAGGAGAGGAGTGTTTAATTTGAAGAGAGTAGGAGGAGAGGAATTGCTTAATTAAGCAATTTTCACATTCTCTCTCTTTAAATTAAGCACCTCTCTCCTCCTAAGTAACTCTCTAAGCAACATGCATTAAACATGCTCTTATAGTGACTAACCCCACGCCAAAGGGCACTCACACAGAAGTCCTCAAGACGTGCCCGAGAAATCTTAGTAGGCCTTAAGTCTAAGCCATATGCGAACATATAATTTTTGTAAGGCACAATACAACCATGCTATCCCCGAGTATCGAACCTGTGACCTCGAATAGTCATGTGTGAGAAAGTACTCTGAAACCACTAGGCCATTAGCCAATCTTTTAAACTGTGAAGAATTTAACTTTTTATAGTGACTGGCCTATCCCAAAGAACACCGGTGTTATTATAAAGGGTTTAATTTTTTATAGTGACTAACCCAATTTCGAAAAGCACCCGCACAACAATCCTCAAGATGTGACTGAGAAATCTTAGTAGGACTTAGGCACATGCCATCTGCGAATACATAATTTTTTTTTAATGCACAGTACCACACTGCCGTTCTCGAATATCAAATTTTCAATCTCGAATAGTCATGTGTGAGAAAGTGCACTGAAATCACTAGGCCATCAGCCACTTCTAAACTTGGATGCAATTTTCTTGTTATGTTATATATCTGAGTTCTTTTGTTTTGAAAGATCGTTTATGACAAAGATGGTTTATATATATGAGTTCTTCAAGAGTACAAATATGAAAAAGTGTTATAAATATATATAATATTTTATTTTTATTTATTATTTTTGATGTGGACAATTCAAATCGATACAAAGTTTCAGTAGATGTAAAGTATGTGTTTTGTTTTGAGAAAAGATGTGAAGTATGAACCACGCGTTAGTGGTCAAATGGTAGCATGACGTTAATATTTTTGGGGACCTGAATTTAAATCCGTTTATATTCAGATTATCACAGTGGTCACTAGGTTTTTATATGGGCTCCCAGTCTCCAGAGATTAAATTCTGGGTTATCAAAAAAAAAAAAAGATGTGAAGTATGTTATGTAGATGTTTCTTTAGCAATGTATAACTTTATGTGCTTAGACGCTAATTGGTTGATGTTGTGTATAAATGCTGTGTTTGTTGTGTGTGTATAGGTAAGAAAAAATATAGGCGAAATGTTGATCACCAAATATCATTTTGACAAAACTGTATTTTTGTTTTGTAACACAAACTGACAAAACTGTATTGTTTTCCTAATTTATATCAAAACGAGATGTTTTAATTTAGAGAAGGATAAATTATACTCCATCCGTTTTATATTAAGTGTCGTTGTAGAGAATTTTTTGTGTTACAAAAATAAGTGTCGTTTTCGGTTTTCAATGCAAAATTTATTAATTTTATTATGTAATTTGTTTTTCTATTGGTTAAAATATGGTTAGATGTGTGGATAATTATGTTTTTATATAGGAAATATGTAAAATTAATTGTTTCCTTAATCCGTGTGCATAACTGTAGAGTGACACTTATATTGAAACAGAGGGAATATGAACTAACACTTTGGAAAAAACATTCCGATCTAATGTTTACCGAAAAATGAAGTACTTTTACCTTACGTTTTAGTATTTTGTATTCTTCCTTTTAATTATAAATGTCTGACTGAATAGCTTCCTTAGAATAAAATTTCAGAGTAAAGATTATATTCAGCTGAGTTGCGCTTACATGAAACCAATCACAATAAAATATATAATTTGATGTAGAGTTTTTTTTTTTTTTGTCTTTTGTGAATTTATAGCATAAAAGTATTTTTAATGGAACATTTACTCCAGCTTTACTTTTTAGTTTTCATTTGTTTTTCATGATTAATCTTATATATTTTAGATATGTTGTCATATATATATAATTAATTGTATTCAAAAGACCAAGACTGAATCGGATAATATAATTAATTTTTAGTATAAATATCTGGATTCAGTTTAAATACATTGGTTAGTTGAATATTTAGGTGTTTATATATCAGAACTAAATTCATCCAAATCTGGGAGTATCCGATTCGAAATCCATCTAGAAATTTATAATACATACCGGAGTCTAGTTTTAAAACTCCAAAAATCGATATTCAAAAGAAAAAACTTGTATCTAAACGTATATCTAAATGCCAATATCTAACTCAATCTATAAACAAATAAAAACAATCTTTATTAACTGTTTTGAATTCTTGCAATTTGATGTAAACAAAATTCTAGGTAAAGAATGACAAAATGTGACCTTTCTAGTCTTGTAATTAATGATCTGTAATGATAATAATATGAAATCAACTGATAGTAAAAAATAAACGAATGGTTAAAAATATATATTACGTTAACTTCCTTAATTTAGGTGCAAAGGTTATAAAACATCAAATAAACCCGAACGAAGAAAGTATTATGTTTAACATGTCAAATTATTATTACAAAAATAATTAGTGAAGTAGTTACGAAAAGTGAAAAAATGTAAAAATAATATAATAAAAACATTTTAAAATATGTAATTTATGTTTTGTACTTCTGTAAAAAAGAAACAATTCGTACTTGAATGCCTATGGATAACTAATTCTATACATAAATAAAAAAACTTTTCTTAACTGTTTTGAAATCTTGTTACGAACAAGTTCACTTAAATCTGTCAAATTATTATGGTTAACATTTAAAGAAATGTTGTTGAATTATTATGGTAAAAATAGTTAATGAAATAGACAAGAAGAGTGAAAAAATGAATGTAAACATATAATAAAACA